TCGAGAGACTTATGCATGCTGTTGTTGGAGCGGCTTGATGTAAAGGCGATAACCCTCATATCGATGACACCTTGTTAATCCTGTAAATATATTTTCAAATATCTGTCTATTTTATAAATTCCTACACAGAAACATTAAAATATATAAAAATGCATCGCCGTCATAATTAGCCTTGACGACTGGCATAGGCGATCATGCCTCTCAACAATCTACGGTCTCCTATATCATGTATCAGTTCATGTCTCTTCTTGTCTTGAAGAAAGGCTGTCAAGAATCTTCTCTCGTTGACTTTTTCCTCCATTTATCTTTCTACAAATCGGTTCGTTTGTCTCAGCATATTCCATTGGCTCTCTTCTCATACGTGCTAAAATAATAATAATAATAAGAATAATAATAATAATGACTGTCTCCATCTGATGTTTGTGACTAGCTGGTTTTTGGCCTGGCCTATTTTAAAACAACTGGCTTACCCATTTTGTCTGTCCACATCATTTTAAGCATATTTTATAGGGAGGGAAAGCCCACAAGTTTGCATTGGAAAAAAGCTCAAATTAGTTCCGCAGAACGACGTCCACATGGGAAAGTCTGGTTTAAACTCTAGCTCAGAGTTCTTCAGCTGTAGGTCACTGGTGGGCCGCGATGAGGCCTTGTGGACAAGCATATACTTTTCCTAACAAAGAAACGGGGTTAGGCAGGTAGTTTTGAGCAACAGCAGATGCTACATTAGCTGAAATTTGTAATTTTATGTGATCGAATTTTACAAAGCTAATGCTAAAGGGCTGCGTGGTCTCGAGGCATGGTGTCCGCTTTGAGTGCTAAAGGTTCCGGGTTCAATCCCCGGTAAGGGCTGGGATTGTTTCACGTGGACTTGGACTTCTAGTAATTTCTTCTGGTCTCTGTGTAGTGATATCGGACGCCCGTGTGTATTTTTCGCGCAGTTAAAAAAAAATCCCTTAGCAGAACATGGAAAAGAATAGCCTAACAGCGCTGCCCGGGCAAAATTTGGAGTTAAAAATCTAACACAAACGTATTTCAAGATCCTCGCCGGTGCTACAGAGCCTGTGCACAGTGCTGAGCTTCTTCCAGCTCAGATGGGTTGGAGCACAAATGGGTTCTACCCGTGTGTCATTGTGTTGATCGTTTATCAAAAACCCTAAAGCTATCCTCATGCGTATATTATTTTATTTATATATATATATAATATATTTATATATTATATATTATTTTATATATTATTTTATATATTATTTTATTTTATTTCATTATTCCACACCCCATTCTTTTAAACGTTGCTCACGTCACCCCTTAGAGATCTATACACTCTCCTCTCCTCGTTGTTACGTTTGTGTAGTTCACTTATGTTTGAAAAAGGCTGCCCGGCCTAAGCGTTACGTTGTATTGTTTTGTGCACGTTTTTCTGCTTCCCCATTTTGCTGAGCTTTCTAGTCAAATTTCTCTGGAACTCCTTGTATAAGCTTGACTGCAGTCACCCCCATATTTATCCTCATTCGTGTTTGTTTCTTTGTTTTGTTAGCTGTCAGCTGGGCCAGGAAACAAGTAGGCCAGAGATATAACATGTTTGAAGAACACTGCTATAGCTCATAAAAAAGAGGAGGAGGAGGGGGGAGGGCTGGGAGAGAGGGTTGGAGTCACCTACAAATCAATACGGAGAAATGAATTACCAGTCCTAAAACTTACGCATTCCATTTCAGGAGAATTTTAAAAATCCTTGCGAGACTCTGGATTAAGAAATAAAGCAGGCTTCTGTTGACATGTTCGAATGCCAATAAAAGATTATCTCTACAAACATTATAATAGATTTCGCTTGAGGAATTTAAATAAGCGTCACGCAAGAGAAAATGTCTAGTCCTTTCGTCATTTTTGAAACGCCCTGTTTCTTGATTTGATTGTTTCTTAAGAACATGATGAAGCTGCGTATTACTGATGAAGTAACTTACTGATCAACTGTCAACTGGTTTATGGGGAGATCTACAAAATGTGGACAGATCATTGCTTCTCTGATAAGGCAGCTTCTGCAGTGTGCTTTGTTCCAAACGTTTTTGTGTTATATTTCCTTTAGCGTAAATAAGGCAGATCAAGGCACGGATCATGGTGTATGTCCTCTACAAAACTGCCTTGGCTTTTTGCCACTAATTCTGGAGGATTATTCTTAACGCGAAAGGTCTTTATATTCTTGTTCGCCATTGCCATGTACTATGAGACCCATGTCTCATCGTAGCTCAATATAACACCAGCATTTGGAAAGACGGAAAGGTGCCGATCAACAATGAAACAATAAAGAACTATTGAGTGACCGACAGAAGGTAGGTATTTGTACCCCACATCACACAAGCGATAACCACCCCGTGACACAAAGTGCCACCACGCGGATGAGAATCACCCGTGGAAAGGTCCCAGAAACCCCTTTCAGCCGTTAAAGCTGATTTATGGCCCGGTTATATTCAGGGCCCCCGGCAAAAGCCAGGGTAGGGCTTAAAAAACAAAAAACAAAAAAAGGTGCATTCCACGAGGGGATGACAAGACTGACCTGCAGGATCATCAATCTTTAATTTATAAACCACTCTCCTCTCTCTCTCTCGGTTTTAAATCGCTGAGTTTACAATAATCTCCATTTACGTTAGTGATTCCGTATCTCAAAGAAACTCAATTCCCCCGATTTTCAAACTGTTCATCCTCACCACCCAGCGGTGTAGACACTCATCTCTTTTCCACAGATCTTAGTTGCATCAAATTCACTGATGGCATTCCACGATGTTGACTTCTCAGGCCTTCAAGCGTCGTCTCTCTTGGTCTGCCTCTGCCTATTCCTCCCGTTGACCTTTCCAATCATCACTATGTCCTCCAATGCTTCTCTATTTTTTTTACGCATATTTACATTATATATATATATATATATATATATATATATATATATATATATATATATATATATATATATATATATATATATATATATATATACATACATACACACATATATATGGGAGTCGCCGTGGCTAGACGCTCGCGTGCGGATTGGAAGGTCGTGCGTTCCCTCCCTGGCAAAGCCGACTTTTTTCATAAATAACCTTTACTCCCAGTTCAACCCAGCCTTGAGTGGGGTACCGGGTGCAGTCCCAGGAAGTAAAGGCGGCCGGCTCGATGCTGACTACATCACCCACCCTTTTACTATATATATATATATATATATATATATATATATATATATATATGTGTGTGTGTGTGTGTGTGTGTGTGTGTGTGTGTGTTACCATGCTGGACACCTCCCTAAAGTTTTATTTGTGTCGACGCACAGATATAACATATAACAATTTCTTATCTCTCATTTCATGCCTACCTGTCATACAAAAACCATGTTCGGTCAATTCTTAACAATTTTTCTTAAAGCAGTTTATGTCTTTCATTTCGAAACTCTTTACCTAGGCGCACTTTTATGTACCGCAGCATTTAGTCGAATACTTCTTTTTTTGCGTTCATCGGCTGTAAACTCTGGCGTAAAGTTCTTGTTGTTCGTCTACTTCTGGACTGCAGTCATGTTCCAGAACTTGAGTGTTGCGTGTGCATGCGCTTGACAGATTTAACTAAGTGGTGTGCAGGCTGTTGGTTTCTTGCCTCTCAGGCAGATGCACTCCGACTTCAAAGAAAGTTCCCAATTAGTCTACTCTTACGACACCCTTTCAGGTAGGCAGTGGGTCAATTCTTGTTTTCCCTGTATAAGGGCCCTGGAACCCACACGGGGAACCCTCTAATAGGAATATAACAATTGATAAAAGGTTACCTACACACACAAGAAAGCGGGTTGTTTCGTAAACGTGAGGTTTCAATAATAACTATTTTATACAGTTAAATATAATTCCTGTATTTGCTTGTATTGCATTTGAATCTGAATGGCGTCTCTTAAAGTGACTGGGTGTCAATTGTGCAGACTGTAAACACGAAAGCGAAGGTGCGAAAAAAAAGTGTGTGTGTTTGGGGGAGTGGGAAGGGGGTTGTCTTTTTGTAGCCTGTAATATCAGTCAACATTTTACAGACACACCCCTGCCGAAGCGGCTGTTCAGTAAGACAGTGTGAACACTGGTAACATATTGGGGCAGGAAGTGTGTCAGTAAAACTAATTTCAGCATTTCAGTGGGTCTAACGTGTCTCGTCTTGCTGGAAAGTCAGTCTTCTTTTATACAGAAATAAATTATTTGACAAAAGATAACTAAAGTTTGAGGAATAAATAGGTGACACGTAAACTCAAGGAACATATAAAATCATAGAAATAGAGAAATAGGATACAGATATATATATATATATAGGATAATGTTCAAATCGATATAAAATTGCGAATTTTTGTGGGTTTGCATAGCAGATATAGGTTAGGAAATCTTGATTATTTTTGTACTTCACGTCCTTTGCTAAAATAAAAAATAAAAAACACGTTGAAAATCATATATTGTTTCAGTATGGCTTCTATTAGCGTTTCCCACTGTCAATACTAAACAGCATTTCTCTCTCTCTCTCTCTCTCTCTCTCTCTCTCTCTCTCTCTCTCTCTCTCTCTCTCTCTCTCTCTCTCGTTCTTTCTTTTTTTTCTCTCTCTCTAAGACTCACCCACTCTGTCTCTCTTTCACTGCCTATTTCTGTCTCTGTCAGTATGTCTATCTCTGCCTCCTATCCTCTCTTTCTCTATCGCATTGCCCTCACTCTGTCTCTGTCCTCTCTCTATACGTCTGTCTTTGCACACATCTCTGTCATTCTGCTCATTTTTTTCTGTTTTTCACTATATATATATATATATCTTTTGCTCTCTCTCTCTCTCTCTCTCTAGCGCTCTCTCTCTCTCTCTCTCTCTCTCTCTCTCTCTCTCTCTCTCTCTTTCTCTTTCTCTTGATCTCTGTCTCCAATTGTGTGTTTCATTTTTAAAAACTTGTTTGCGCATGGCACACAGTCCACCCAGAACAACAGGCCACATATGCACACTGCACTTAACCACAACTATGTGACCACATTTGCAATGTGTTCAACGTCGTTCTTGAAAGTCACCTTCTTCGGACTCCCTTGAATTGAGGACAGAGATTCCGCTGGCAATCGATAGAGACATTTTCTAAGAAGGTCTTTTTCTCTCAAAGCTTGATCGAAGTTAAAATCGTCGAAGACAAAGCTTTTTGCCTGCTCGACCCCTTCGTTAATAAAATTATGAGGTGGTTGTGATTCAGTTACTGCTGCGGTCATATAATCATGTTTTGAGAAATGGGTAATTTCAACGTTCTCAAGGCTGCTTCTTCTTGACAAAACTGCATTTCTCAGGATTGATTTCATTTCTTTGGTTTGACAGGCTGCGCTTGAATTCCGTTGAGCATCTGTCGTTGCGAGAGAGTGCCGTCGTTTATTTGTAGAAACAATCCTGGCCTTACTTTCTTGTCTAAGCCGTTGAGTGTTATAAGTGGTTGTTTGTGAAGCTCGAGGCTTCATGTTGAATGAACATGTTATTGACTGAGAATGTACACAGTTTAATGTATCAAGTGGATCTGTTTGGTTGTCATTTAAACATGCATTTTTTCTGTTGCAGCTTCGTTTCATTTTTATTTTTAGTACTGTAATGTATGGCAAGCTAGATGTTGTGAGGGAACTCTGGGAGCGAGTGAACAGTGCCGAAGCGCAAATAGATCATTACTGTCTGAGGAGAATGACGCTGCATGGAGTTGCCAGGGAATCTGGCCGATGCTCAACACTCAAGAGAAAGGCGAGACGGATACACGATCAGACTGTTACTGGCACCATTGGAACTCTTCGTTTGCTGTTGAAGATGGGGACGTGTCCCGAGTGCTATGATGTCGATCTTAATTAAACATTTAACTTTCAACATTTTTTAAGTTCTGTTTTCAGATTAAACACATGGATTAATGCTACAGCCACTGGTTTCTCGTGGACTTTGATAATACATTTAAATGTGCAGAATTAAAGTATAAACGAAAATTGTGCATATGTTTATCTTGTTCCAGAACTAATACAAGCAGGCCTCACAGCAGGCACCAAGGAGAAGCACGAAATCCTGAGTTATTTCTGATGACAACAGAAAAGAGTCATTGTTAATATAATAATTATAGGTAATGTGATATTATTCTTCTTTTGCGTTCATCCGAAGATGTAATTGCGTTGTGTCTGTTTACAGCATGGCTGCGACATTTGCACCTTTCGACCAACACATCCAACTTCTACGGGCATTTGTTGACCGCGTTAGCATTCCCGGAGTAATGTGATATGATATATTTCATACTTTTACGTCGGCGTCAGTGGCTTGGCCTTGTGAACGTGTTTAGTATTCAGGAGTACTGGGTTCGCTCACAGGTGCATGCATTTTGGAAGCAGATCGTCTTGCGTTGGTTTCAACAGTGATATCCGAGGCTGACCGTTCAAAGGCAATGTTGTACTAATGAACGTAACATTGCCAAGTAAAACAAAACAAGAATACAGGGATAGGATTTTGCAACGCCATGCAAAGAAACGCAGCTAAACTATATTATTGTTAATTATTAGGAGTTCTAGTTAGTTGGCAGCTTTAACTTATTGAGTCCCAAACAATGCACGATGTGTGAATCACTCTCTCTGCTGAATCTCCCTAGCTTAATGTGTTCTCTCACGTTTTTGTATTTGGCCAGAACATACTCAAGAAATCTGGTTTGTCCAATAGTAACTACTACTGTAATATTATAGCTTTGAAAGTGGTGCACTGATGGAATTTAATCACAAATATTTCTTAACTGGTATCTCCTGCGAAATCTTCTTTCTGGTATTAAAAGAGTTAAGAGTATACTTCGTGACCAGTCAACAAGCAGACAAGTATAATTTAAATAATGAGGACACAAATCCTACTACGTGTGAAATGCACTGTCTGGATAAGGACAACACAAGAAGGGACACGATTACTAATACTAGAATTAAAGAGATAGCTGGAATCGAACCATGTTGGATTTTATTGAAAGACAAAGAATTTAATGATTTGGCCATCTAGTGAAAATGCAGCCAGACCAAACTGCATATACGACTTTTTACAACCGGACATCTAGGAGGAAGAAGAGATGAAGATCAGGAAATTAATGGATAAATCGTGAAGAAAAAAAAAAAGTGAATATTTCCTATTTATATTTTTCTTTACAATAAAAAATAATGAAAGGTTCAATGCAGCGATAGTTGTCCCTTCTATTCCTTTTACATTAACAACAAAATATCAACATTTGTAGTAAACATATAGTATTACCTTGTTAAAAGTCATCGTACAATAAACTATTCACCGTCCTTTTTAGGATGAAATTTTTCGTTATTTGAAGCCCCACCCTGGCTCTTGCCAGGGTCCGCAATATAGCGAGGCCATAAATATGGCCTAATGGCTGAACGCGGTTTCTGGGACCTCTCCAAGGTGATCCTCACCACATGGTGGCACATTGTGTCATCGGATGTTTATCGCTTGTGTGATGTCCTGGTGGGGTAGAAAGTCAGTCAGTCAGTCAAAGTCTTCGTAGCATTACTTTTAATTTTTTTTTAATAAAAACATAAACTGGTAACAACCACAACACCTTCCTGTGTGGGCTCTTGTGCACAATTGTAAAGGGGGGGGGGGGGAGAGAAAATAGACCCACTGCCTCTTCGACAAGTGTGTCATAAGAGTCGACTAACTGGGAGCTTCCTTTAAAACCGGCGTGTATCAGCTTGAAAGGCCAGGAACTATCTGTGTTAAATTGAGTCAGACCATGAAAGGATGTGAACCCAGCACTCAGGTTCTGGGACAAGTTTGGTGGGCCAACTACCAAAACTGTCCGCCGGAGTTAACAGCCGGTGAACGCGAAGAAGAAGAAGAAGAAAAACTACCACAAATATAATAATAACAATATTAATGCTGCTTTTTTTTTCTTGCTTGTTTGTTTTGTCCTTGCTAGCTTCTTTCATTCTTTTCAGAAGATGGTATTATGTGTTAAATTGTGCTATATGGAAGTGCGTGAATCACAGCCCCAGGGCGAGTGCGACTAGCAAGGCCCACAGGTGTTAAAAAGTCTTTTACAATTACAGATTAGTAGTACCTGACCTAATAAAGATTAATAGATAAATGAATCCAGTTCCATCCTACAAAATTTTAGGTTATATTTGTGGTCTGGTTTATTTGCGCCAGTTGCATTTCTAAGATTGAGGTATGTACGTTTGCTCTCTTGCTATTTGTTCCTATCCTAACAGCTGGGCCACAACTTCCTGTCTGTGTGTGTGTGTGTATAATATATATATATATATATATATATATATATATATATATATATGTATATATATATATATATATATATATATATATATATATATATCATATATATATATATATATATATATGGAAATATATTGTCGTTTAAATTTCAATAAACTTAATTAATTTTTTATGAAATATTTGTGTGTGTGCAAAATCGCAGAAATTATAATATATAATCCTTTTCACAGCTTTATGAAAAAAAAAAAAAAAACCTGTGCAATTTTAATGTAATGAAAGAATATTGCATTGGTGAGGAAAAAAACAGCAAACAACAGGAATTTGCTGAGGCACCTGTAGATTGTGAAGGCCTGGGCTATTTCATATTAAGCTTATGCTTAAATGCAGCATTTCTTTCTTTCGTCGTCTCACTGATGGTTGTAGCCCACTGACGTGGTTTTCTGTGTTCGTCTTGCGCTTCTCATGTGGCTTGGGTAATAGATTTATCTTTTTGCGGGTTTCTGTTACACCATTTATCCATGTCTTTCTTGGTCTTCCTCTCGCCTTCCTCCCAGATGTTCTGCTTTAAAAAGTCTCATATGCGATTTGGTGGGACTGCATTCTCACTAGCAGCTTCAACCATTTAATTTTTTTTGTCTGTCAATATAACCCAGCCGACTTTCTTTCTTGTGTTGGTATTCGCAATCCTGTCTCTGCTTGTGTTGTTAGTGATCTTGCCGAGACAACACATTTCACATGTAGTTATTTTCTGTTCTAGTGCCCTATTCATTGTCCATGTTTGGCACTGATAACATGAATTAGGGATAAAGATGCTATCGATCATTTGCTGTTTTGGTGGAGAGATGACATTCGAATGTCTAAGCAGTGGGGCTAACTGGTCGATGACAGCATTTACTTTAAAAACTAGGTATGAAATACTTACCTAAACGTCTGAAAGCTGGAAATCGTTCCAAGAAAACAGTTGCTGCGCACTGCCATAGTATGCAGCTATCAGTTGTTTATATTGGCACTTAAAGGTCGGTCGACCTGGCAGGGTGAAGTTGACATATTTACCAGGCAGTCGATCAACAGCCCAATACTGATAAAATCACTTTTATCGTGAATAGAAGTGCCGTCTATTCAATTTTGTTCAATAGGCGGAGCGCCTGTTGTCAAACTTTCTAATCCGGGGATTCTTATAGTGTGCTTTCTACAGGCTGCACTTCTGAATAGTCTAATTCTGAAGCTCCCAGTGTTGGTTCTGGGTCCCCAATCTGAAGGGGGGGGGGCGCGGGCGGGGGGGGGGTGATACGCCACTGCCCTTTAACAAACATGTCGTAAAAGGTAAATAATTAGAGGTTTGCAGAATTGGGGTATGCTGGTTTGAAAGGCGCAGATATATCGCAGCCTAGCTCTAAACCACAACACAAAGCGCAAATATCCTTTTGAGAGCTAAAGAAGACGATTGTTAATCTGCATATTACCAGACAGCTTCTATTTAAATGTGAATTTATTGTTTCTGTCAATGGTAAACACATTTGAAAACAGTAAAACTTGTTTAAAAAAACACACAGGAAGGTTCCCTTTTCACGCCTTTAGGCGTATCGGGCATATGGGAAGTGCACCCCTAATTTTACAGACCATCGGCACTAGGTGGGTTATGTGGGCAGCATTACGCCAGCCATCTTTACTTCTCCAGGACAGCTATTTTGGTATCCTTTTAGGCTTGGTCGACCTGCGACGCCCCACATACCACGATACATTTCCACGCAGCCGAAGTTTATTATAACGTGTGTGTTTGTTTAGGGGGCAGAAAGGGCATTTGTTCTCGCATTTGCGATAACACATACTTGTCTTACAATCGCTGACACTTGCTTGTTCTATTAACGCCGAAGCTGATTTTTTAAAAAAATGTAAGCACTTCGTAATAAATACAAAAGGCGAGAAAAGCTTCCAAAGCACTGGGGAATCTAAGTATGTGGATATCATATAACTGTTTTACAATCGCTGACGCATGCTAGCTTTATTGAATTTGATGCGACGCCAATTTTTAATTTGGTTTTGTAGTATACATAAGTAAAGAACTTCCAAAGTATTAAGGATTATGTTGATTTATAGGAACGAATGAATCAACTTTATTTTCTAAATTGGGCACGTAGGCCTGTTTTAAATTCAGCCCTTCCAAACGTTTGTCTTTCTTTCCTACTGCAATTGTATTTTATATTTAAAGCGCATTATGTTCACATAACTTATACTAACTGTGAGTAACAAATAAACTATACTAAAATAGAAATGGTAAAAGTATACATTAAAGTATATAATAATATCCAATGTGAACACACGCATATATACG